CGGTTCTGCGCGTGGACCTGGAAGAGGTATTTACTGATCCGACTCCGATGGGTTCGTCCAAGCGAGTCCGGCTTCACCAGTGACAGTCAGTTGTCTTGAGCATCTCTTTCGTCATGTTGAGGCCCGTGTCATTGCAGACGTTTTTGTGGACGGCGTGAAGGGCTGTCTGGGCCACGATGCTTAATCAATTCAGCATGCCATGGCCTCGCCGCTGGGAGGGGTGGGTCGTCGGGAGGTGAATGGGTGATTGCCAGTCATCTCGCGACGACCTCCTTTGGCGGCGCGGCCAGGCTGCGGTCGCGGTGTGTCGGAGGGGCCCCTTCCGAGACTTTGGGCTCTTGCGTGGCATCCGTTCTTTGGATGCGTCGTGGTCATAGGTTTGTGCCTCCGCCATCCGATGAAGGCGGCCAGTCGGAGATTCGTAGCAATTTCCGAATCAGGAGGAACTGCTTCCCTCGAAGGTTTCCCAGGGGCTCTAGACCATGGGGGCCCTTCCCCGAGGCTCTTGCGCCCGACAGGTGCGTGGGCTCGCGCCCAGTTGCGTGCTTGGGCTGCGCCGGCAGGCCGCTACTGCGGCATGTGGCAGACTCCCGCGGCGTAGCATCGCAACTGTAGAACTTGCAAAATCTGGTAGCTTCGCCTCCTTAGAGGTGCGGGTGATGGCAGGTGGCGAAAGGGCATGGGCCCTGTCTTGGCAGTTCAAACAGCTTTGCTGTATGGGCGAGGCCCCAGGGAAGCTTCTGTTCGGCAGCGTCGCACCCTTACTGGTGCCGTGGTGGACTGGCCCATTCCAGTCTCCGCCAACCCAGGCAATGATTTCATTGAGTTTGAGGCGTCTGAACTTGTAGATGATCTGTGCTGCGACCTCAGGGCGCAGCTGTGGGATGCTGCGTCAGGGCCAAGCAGGCTTTGATTTGAGAGGTGGGGCTGGTCTATTTCGTGTTCGCCGTGCGCTGCAGCGTTTGATCAAGGGATTAGTTTGTTCGGCGAGCGCGGCTTCGCGATGGCTGTGGTCGGCGGGGCCCCGTGGCCCACCGTTCGGAGGTGCCCGTTGGCCCCCCCCAGGACCGGTTGTGCCGGCGCCGCAAGGGGCGCTCTCAGACCCTCGCGCATCGGGTGCGCCCCTGCGAAGCTAACGGTGGCCATGGGGATTGCGCCGAGAGCGACTGTCTGGTTCGTCGGGCGTTAGCGGGTGCAGAGGCCTCTCTTGGTCTTTGGCTGCGAGGTGTGGCCCCGTCCGCGCTTGCTTGCCCGCCCTGTTCAGATGGGCAGGGCGCGGTGCTTGTTTCTGTGCGCGAGCGTGCGCTCATGGACTACTGGGTTGCGGGTGCAGTCATTGTACTTTTTGGTGGCGGCTCGTTCCCTCCGACCCTCGCCGCCGCCGCTGTGGCTCAGATGCAGTCGTCATTCAGCAGCAGGGCCGAACTCACTGCAGTTCCTCTGGCTGTTGAGTGTTCTGGTGGCCCCATCCGGTCTGAGATCGACCGCGGGCCGCTGCTCGTTGATTTTGGGCGGGGTGGTTGCGAGCTTGCGACGGGCGGAGCGGGGGCCCCTGGCCGCGTATCAGAAAGGGATCTTGAGGGCCGCGGGGAAGGCGAGGTCGCCGTTGATGGGGCCCTTTTTCTCAGGCTTCTTGATGATTCCAGTCTCGCGCCCCAGGAGCGTTTCTGGGCTGTCGGCAGCGCCGCGGCCGACCCTGCTGCCGGGGAAGCAGCTGGAAGTGACTGGGAGCTTGGTTTCACCGCGGACGCGCCCTGGAATGACCATTGGGATCCGATCGCGCGCTTGATCAGGAGAGGGGTGCGCAGGGCCCTGGCGGATCTTGCGGCGGCCGGCCCCGTCGAGCCCCAGGACTTCGTGGGAGCCCCTGGAGGGCTCGACGGGGGGCCAAGAGGGATCGTGCCGCCCGCGCCAGTGTTCACCATGCTATTCAGTATGGAAAAGCTGGGGCAGGCTTCTGGAGTTTTGTGGTTCGGTTTACGCTGTTGCTGGGGCCCAGAAATGGCCTCAACATGTTGTCGTCTCTGTTCCTGGGTAGGCGGTTGTTTGCGGGGGGACCTTCAGCGAGTCTCACCGCGTGGGCTTCTGGGGCAGTTTTGACATGTATGTTTTTTCCGCCGCTGCGGGCGTACAGCCACCGTGGACAGGCGCCAGCTAGCTGCTGACGGCTCCAACCTTACGAAGAAGGGCCGTGATAACCTCGCCCACACCTCGTAATGTAAGTTTCCCAGCTACGTAGGCCCTCCCAAGACTGGCCTGGCGGCTGGGGTGGAGCGAGAGGTCGTGGTGGCTACAATCCACGCGTCAGCCAGCCGTTTGGCAAGCTAACACCCCACCCTCCTTCCTCCGTTTCTTTTCCCCGCACGCTGTGCGGCGCAAGTGCTCCGAATCCTCCTCCTCCTTCTCCTCCTTCCCCTCTTCCCCTCCTCCTCCGCCTCCGCCTGCTGCTCCTCCTTCCCTTCTCCTCCTTTCCGTCCTTCCTTGTGCAGGTGAAGTATCTGAGTACTACTCTCCCTACTCCCCTGCAGTTGTCGGGAAGATGCCCCACCCGTACGCGTGCTGTTTTATACGCAAGGTTTGGATGTTTGTTTGCAATCTAATTATTTCCGGTGCTTCGAACTGGTGCTCCCGTTGCAGCGTGGGCCTCGTTTTCCGATCGGCGCGTTGTTCCTGTCGTTCAGGATGGCGCCCTCGCCCTAGCGCGGGCCATTGCTGGATCCGAGTCAGGCTTCATTGTTGCCTCCCTCATCATTTCCCCTCCTTCGCCTCACGCTGGTCCTCCTTTTCCTCCCAGTCCTTCAATCCTGTTCCTGCTGCTACTGCTGCTGTTTGTCTCGCCCCAGCGCGGGCCACTTTTCCGAATCCGAGTTTTTTTTTATCGTTGGCGCCTCCCTCATTTCCCCTCCTCCGCCTTCCGCTGGTCCTCCTTTCCCTTTCGATAGTTCCGCTTCCATTCCTGGTGCTGTTCGTCCTCATCCTTCTCCTCCCGCTCATCCTTCTGCTCGCCCGCCACCTCCTCCTGTGCACACAGCTGCCCTTCTGTCTATGTGAGTCGCAGGTCGGCTATGACACGCGTCCGCGGATAGAGGAAACTCAGCGCCGTTGGAAGGAATGGGAGGGAGGGGTGGGAAGTCAGACGAGGAGCGAGCACACTTGGCTTGCCTCCTCTCCCTCTCTCCCCCGCTTCCCCCCTCCTTCCGAATATCAGGATGTCGGGTGTCTGGGTCCTCCCTGTGCCCTTTCGCTCCTCGATCCTCGATCCCCGATTCCCGCACAATTACAATCGGGGCTTATGTTGCTCCCATCGTACCTGAGGACCCCATCCCATGAATAATTTCGAGCACCCAGAAAAGTATCGAAACAGCGTCGAACGAGTATCGCCTTCCAGGGCCCGACACGTGAACACCCTCAAGTTTCGGTCCCCTTTTGGTGCTCAAAATTCTTTCTGGTGATCAAGGCTAATGTAGGTTGGAAGTTTCGGCCGTTTTCGGCCTCCGTGGGCCCCCACCGGGCCCTCACCGGGCCTGGGGGCCGTCTACAAAAAGCGACGCGGGATGGAAAGGCGGTCCCCAGGACAAGGTCGGGACCTTTGGGGGCCCACGCTGCGAAAAAGGAGGAGGAGGAGGAGGAGGAGGAGGAGGAGGAGGAGGAGGCGGAGAGGCGGAGGCGAGGAGGAGGAGGAGGAGGAGGAGGAGGAGGAGGAGGAGGAGGAGGAGGAGGAGGATAATGATGAGGAGGAGGAGGATAATGAAGAGGAGGATAACACAATGTCGGCGGTCTGGGCCTTTCTGCGCTCGGCTCTGGCCAGGATGTCGAGAGGCGCCGCCTGCCGTAGCCGCGGGGGCGCCCTGGGAGCCCTGCCGCGGGTGCCACCCGAGGGGCCCACAGGACTGTCCAGCAGCAGCGATCCTCGAGTCCCCGACCCCCGACGTCGCGTTTTTTGCGTGACGTGGACCCTCCTCCTCCTCTCCTCCCGTGCAGCGTGACCCCCGACGTCGCCCTCCTCCTCCTCCTCCTCCTCCTCCTCCTCCTCCTCCAGCAGCAGCAGCAGCAGCGATCCTCGAGTCCCGGACCCCCGCAGTCGCGTTTTTTGCGGGACGTGGACCCTCCTCCTCCTCCTGCTTCTCCTCTTCCTCCTCCTCCTCCAGCACTGCTGGAGGATCGCTGCTGCTGAGCAGCAGCGATCCTCGAGTCCCGGACCCCCGACGTCGCGTTTTTTGCGTGACGTGGACCCTCCTCCTCCTTCTCCTCCTCTTCCTCCTGCTCCTCCTCCTCCTCCTCCTCCTCCTCCTCTTCCTCCACTTGATCCACTTAGCTGGCGCAGCGTTTTACCCTCCATGTCGTGTCGCTGCTTGAGACTGTGTTCCTGCCCACGCGCCAGACGGCGTATGGCTTGTGAGTGAGTGACCCCCAGAGGTCTGGACCCCTTCCCGGGGACCGGCTCTTCACCCCGATCCATTTTTTTACGGCCGCGAGGCCTGGTAAAGGCCCCCAGGGGCCGAAAGCCAGAAAAGCCTTCCGTCGTGATTGTGTCGCGACGCGGGCATGTCTGTCGGAGGTGGACAGACCTCCTGCCCTGACACGTCGATTAAGAAATTGGCCGTTTTCGGTTCGCGAGAGGGCGTCGCAGCCGTCATTTTTACGGGTCCAGGTTCGTCGGTTTCGGGCCCAGACCGTTTTTACTAAGGGGAGGTCTACTACAGGGAGGTCTGTCCACCGCCGAGTCTGGGCTCGAGGCCTCCTCGAGCCCTCGTCTCACTACTTACCAAAGCACCCCGACCCAACCCGACGGTCCCAGGCCCCCCAACTTTCGGGGCTGGGGTGTGCGGCTTCCACTGTGCTCTCTCGATGTTCCAGAACGCACCCCCCTCCACTGGAAATCGGCAGGCCCAGCGGCGACTTCGGGTTGGGTTGAGGTGGCTTGGTGGGCAGTCATCCTCGAGTCCTCTAGTCATCGAGCCTCCCTCCACCCTCGGCCGGCAAGCCTGGCGACCGCGGAGGACGACCTCCTCGCGGCGTGGCACGGCCGCGGCGGCCCCCAGGCGGCCCGGGGCGCGCTCGCCCCCCGTTGCGCGGGGGGGGAGTCAAAACCCCCTCGAGTCGTGAGGAATCGCGACGGGAGGTCCCTATTTTCGGCCTCTGGGGGCCCTCGCTGGGCCTCGGGGCCGTCTGGAAACGACTCGGGAAGCAAGGCCGGTCCCCAGGAAGGGATCCAGACCGCTGAGGGGGTCCGCGTCCTGAAAAAATCACGACGCCAGGGTCCTCCTCCTCCTCCTCCTCCTCCTCCTCCTCCTCCTCCTCCTATCTTGGATGGGGTCAGGGGGGGAGGGTGATGGGCACGGGCGGCCTCCCAAGCGGGGCGCGCACGACTCCAGCGTTCGCTCGCTCGCTCGCTCCTCGCCGATCCATCGACCGCCTCCGCTCCCGTCCCGAGAGCCGGCCCCCCCCCCCTCCAACCCTGACCTTCCAGGAGGGCTAAAAAATAGCACCCGACGTAAAAACCTATCCCAGAGCTATTTTACGTCTTGGTTTTAGGCTGTTTCGTCTCGTTTTTTAGGTTTTTAGGTTTCCAGTGCTAAAAAATAGCTCTCTGGAAGGTCAGGGAAGGCAGAGAGCCCCCTCCGCCTGCGGCCCGCCTCTCGCCCCGCGCGCCCGTCCGGGCGCCCCGGGGCCCACCGACCAGCTGCTGTGAGGGGCCACGGGGGGCCCCCCGGGGCCCCGTCCGAGCCGCCCGACGCGCTCGCCACAGGTCCTGCCGCCCGTTCCGCCCCCTCGGGGCCCGCCCGGCCCGCCCGTCTGGGTCCCGGGGCTGTGGCGGGCGGGCCGGCAGAAGGCCGCCCTCTGGCGAAGTGGCCCCGCGCCTGCGAGAGGGGGCCTGGGGTGTCCGCCCCCGTGGGTGGAGCCTTGCGCGGGTGAGGGGGGCGGAGCGGGGCTAGGGGAGCGAAGGATGGCATAAACATGAAAACTCGGAGGTCCGCGCGGATTTCTCGGGTCCGAGAAGTCCGCGCGGACCTCCGAGTTTTTATGCTTCTGCCATTCTTCGCTCCTAGGGGCGGGAAGAGGACGGGGAGCCTGGGTGGAGCTGCGGGAGCCCTCGACCAGCCCCTTCCGCACCCTCCGCGCGGCAGGTGCCGTGCGGAAGGTGCAGCAGGTGCAGGTCGAGGGAGGGAGGGGGAGGGAGCAGGACGGGGAGGGAGGTAGGTCGCTGGAGTTCGCTGCCGACCACGCCGTGGCAGGGGAGGGGAGGGAGGCGGGGGGGGGGGGGGCGAGGGGAGGCCAGCAGCGAGGGAGGGGGGAGGGCCGGGGGCTGCGGGAGGGGAGGCGGGCGGGTGGGGAGGGGCCCCGGAGGGCCTGACGACTCTCTTCGCCAATCGACTTGTGCGGATCCAGCCGCCGGAGTACAGGTCAGTGCAGACCCGTCGGGGCGAGTCCAGGCACTTCGTGGCACATTCAGGTATGTGCAGAGATCTCCAGGGAAACCTTGAGCAAGCCACCGCCGATCCAGCGCGAGTCGAGGGACGGCACACAGTCAACCCGCACAGGAAATAAGGATGAGCAACTTCCCAAGGGTACCCTAGCATCCTTACCTCTTCGGTCATCTTCGGCCCATCCCCAATCACTTTCGATGACCAGCTCCGCTCGAAGAGCCTCGGCATGGGCGCCCAGGGCCCTTGCATCCTTACTGCGCATCCTTCCTATACGGGTTGGCTGCAAGTCGTTAGGCCCTCGACGAAGGAGGAATCTGAGGAGGGGGGAAAACACACAGACACAATGGATCGCCGATCCCCCAGAAACTGTGGGAAGCTGTGGCAAGTGGGTGGGGGGGGGAAGAAGACGAACACCAAGAACATCTGATACAAAATGGTGGGGAGCCCCTGGATCTGTGTGTCTGCTCGTTCCTGTGTCCCTGGGCCTCTTCAGAGGAGGAGGGGCAGGGGCTCGGGGCCCCGAAGATCGAGGGCCCAGACGACCTCTGCCGAGCGCGCGCCCCTGGCCCGCCTCTCCGCCCCCCCACCCCCCCCGCGGGCCGAGGTGGAGGGCGCCGGAGGCAGCCCGAGGACGCGGCTGTCCACCCTGGCCGTGAGCGTGGAGATCGACGACTTTGCGGAGGTGAAGAAGGCGCGGCCCGCGCCGCGCTCCCCCCGAGGGCGGACTCGCCGGCGACTCTTGGAGGAGGAGGAGGAGGAGGAGGAGGAGGAGGAGGAGGAGGAGGAGGAGAGAGGAGGAGGAGGAGGAGGAGGGGGAGGGAGGGGGAGGCGGAGGGGAGGAGGAGGGGGAGGGAGGAGGAGGCGGAGGAGGAGGAGGAGGAGGAGGAGGGAGGAGGAGGAGGAGGAGAGGGGAGGAGGAGGGGGAGGGGGTGAGCGGAGGGGGAGGAGGAGGGGGAGGGGGAGGAGGCGGAGGAGGAGGAGGAGGAGGAGGAGGAGGAGGAGGAGGAGGAGGAGGAGGAGGAGGAGGAAGCGGATGAGGAGTATCACGTTGAGGAGGAGGAGGAGGCGGAGGAGGTCGAGGAGGAGGAGGAGAGGGGGAGGAGGAGGAGGCGGAGGAGGTCGCGGAGGAGGAGGAGAGGAGGAGGAGGAGGAGGAGGAGGAGGAGTAGGAGGAGTAGGAGGAGGAGGAGGAGGTTCCCAGTCCCCGAGCTCCGCCCGACAAGTTTTGCCGCTCAGGAGGAGGGGGGAGACCTTGGGATACACCCCAAGGGGGCCCTTCGGACGCAGCCTTGTCGAGGATGGACCTCCCCCCCATCGTATATCCCAGCGTTGGGCCCGAAGTGTCTGGTCCTTCCGGAAACCTCCCAAAGCCTGGGACAGGGGTCGACGTATCCCCCGTAATGGATCAGCGTCTGGTCATCGATGAGATGGTTAGCGTCGGTCAGGGTCGATCAGCGTCGATGAGCGCTGCTCTGGCCCTCTGGACCCAGCTGTTCGAACCCTGCCTGGGAGGCCCCGGGAGGTCACCAGCCGGTGACTCAGCGTGCCGGCCCGCCGAGCCGAGGAGGAGTCCGCCCTCGGCTCGGTCGGCCTCGGCCGCGTCGCTGTCGTCAGCCACCACGCGCAGATGGGGGGGCCTCCTGCTCCTCCTGCTCCTCCTCCTCCTCCTCCTCCTCCTTCTCCTCCTCCTCCTCCTCCTGGTCGTCCTCCTCCTCCTCCTTCTGCTCCTCCTGGTCAGGGGGGGGAGGGGAGAGCACTTCTTAGAAACACCCCTGCTTCTTAGGAGGCGCGGGCCTTGGGGTCCTTCTTTGTCCTCGAACTCCCGTCCTCAGCGTGCCTGCGCTGGCGTCTGGCGATCGATGGGCGAGAGCGCCGTTTTGGTGTCGACGCCAGTGTCCCATGGAGCCGGGATCAGCGTCGAGCTTAGCGCCGATTGGCGTCGCTTAGTGTCGATTCGAAACTGCCAGCAAGATGGCACGGGAGGGGCCCAAGAGTTGCCACCGAAGACGTGCGTGTACATAGTGTGTGGGCTTTGACAGCATGCTCTGCGCGAGCGTGCCCACCGCGCGGCTGGCCTCGCGGACTGGGTGGCCGTATCCATGTATGTGGCCATCGCCGATGCGCCGGCGATGCGGATCAGTGTGGAGCCCCGGTGTTTCCCACGCCGACGGCGCCGATGCATCGGCGAGGCAGCGCGATCCTCCGACCCCACCTGCTCGGATCACCAGTGGAGCGATGCAGAAGAAAACGGGCTCGATTGCGCCGACACTGGCGCGCAAGCTGCCTGCGTAAGGTCGCGCGGAAGCGCCCTCATCTCCAGTGGCGTGCCGCGCTGGCGGCCCGCGCAAGCTGCCCGCGTAAGGTGTCTGTGCCATCGCCCGTAAGACCAGTTTTTGTTCGTCGCCCATGTGGGAGGCATCCAGTCACGGGGTCGCGCTTTTCTCTTCGACGCGGATCTAAATATACACAGGCACCCTCTGAAGAACTTTGTGTGGAGGGGTTTCAACACTCGAAGACGAGCAGTTTTAGACCCACCCCAGACCAGCCATGAAAAGACAGCTCAAATCAGGCTCCCGAACTATCAGATCACACCGCTTTTTATTTTGAAATTCTGAGTATATCCAGCTGCCTACGGCAAGTCCCGCCACCGTGCCTTGGTTGTGGGTCATAAGCCTTCTGGATGTTCGTTGGGATTTCGTGGGAGGTCTCTCGGGGGCCTCTTGGAGGCAGTTTTGATGCCTCTTGGGGGCCGCTCTGGGGCCCCTTGGGGGCCTCTTGGGGGCCGTTTTGGGGCCTCTTGGGCGCCTCTTGGGCGCCTCCTGGGGGCCCCTTTGGGGCGGAGTCTCGTCGACGTGGATCACATTTAGGGGTCTCTCGGGGAAGCTGGGCTTTCGTCGGGCATGTCCCCCTACAGGCGGGATTTTGGACGACAAATTATAGACATTACAGCACATATTCAAACAATATTCAAACATACTCCGAGCATCGGCCCCCGACTATTTTTTACTATTTTTGAGGATCCCTCCCGTAGAGGCACACGCCCGACGTAAAGCTGGGCCGCCTGGGAGGGCCCTGCCCACACGTCCTGGCGCCTCGGACAACCTGGGGGCGGGCGGCCGGCCGGGCGCCGCTCGTGTGGCCCCGGGGGGGGGGGGGACCCCGGCCTCGGGCTCGTCGGAGAACGGTCGGCTACACGCAGGAGTGACCTTCTGCCGGAGGTGACCTCCTGGTGCGGGCCCGAGTCGGGGCTCCAGAGACGGGGGTCAGTGCAAACGGGGGTCAGCCACAGCGCCCGATCTTGCAGGATCCTGCAGGGCCAGGGTCGCACTGACCCGGGTTTGGGTGCAGGATCCTGCAGGGTCTCGCAGGATCCTTCGCATTGACTTGGGTTTTGGGTGCAGGATCTTGCAGGATGCCGCAGGATTCTGCAAGGCCTGACTGACCCTGGTCTGGATTGACTCGGGTCAGAAGATCCCCGAGGCTCATGGGGGCCCATCCGATCGCTGAGCGCTGTGCGAAAGCTGTTGCCTGCGCGCTTGGATTTGGCCATTTTGCGCCCCTGTACTCCGCGCGCCAAAGGTCACTCGTGCCCAGGGTCCCTCTTGCGCGTAGCCGAAGCGGGGGAGGAGGCAGAGAGGAGGGGTATTTTTTGGGGGGGGCTGCGCATCTGATTCAACCGCTGGCTCCAGAGGAGGAAAAGGTACCCATGCCGCTACCCTTCGCCCGTTTTCTATTCTTTTCGGCCAAGAGGCTCTCGTCGCCACGGCTGGACTCGCCTCGACATTCTCGTCAGAACGCACCCCGTGAGAGGTCCAGGGAGCAGCGGTATCGGCGCCTTTTTTTCCGAGGAGGGAATTTATACATGACCACCGCTTGGAGGATCAAGTTTCTGCGGTTCCCAGGCGGTGGACATGGATAAATCCCCGCCTTGCGCTATTGGTCTTTCCAATGGTGGGGCGGCCATTGGTGCGGAGTGAGGCAAGTCGACCGAGGGAGAGCAGCGGGGCGGCGCGGAGGACGGCAAGGGCGCTGGCGGACGCTCGCAAAGGATACGTAAGGAAGGAGTTGAGCGGGGATGAGGGTTATCAGCGTGAGAGGGATGATGGTGGCGCTGACGTTGACGTTGACGTTGACATTGACGTTGGCGATGCTGATGACGATCACGATGATGATGCTGATGATGCTGATGATGATGCTGATGCTGCTGCTGATGATGACGATGATGATGGATGATGATGATGATGATGATGATGATGATGATGATGATGATGATGATGATGATGATGATGATGATGATAATGATGAGGATGATGATGATGATGATGATTGTGACAATTGTGATGGCGACGATGATGATGAGGATGGCGATCATGCTGCTGATGATAATTGTGATGATCATGGTGGTGATGTGCATGATGATGATGATGATGATGATGATGATGATGATGATGATGATGATGATGATGATGATGATGATGATGATGATACTGATGATGATGATGATGATGATGATGATGATGATGGTGAATGCTGCTCATGATGAATGGTGATGGCTGGTGATGGATGGTGATGGCTGATGGTGATGGTGGTGATGAGGATTCTGCTGATGATGACGAGGATGGTGATGATGCTGATGGTGATGATGATGATGATGATGATGATGATGATGATGATGATGGCGATGCTCATGGTGGTGTTGCCGATGTCGATGGTGATGTTGACGATGCTGATGATGATGATGATGATGATGATGATGATGATGATGATGCTGATGATGATGATGATGATGATGATGGGTGATGATGATGACGATGCCGCCCATAGTGATGTGGACGTTGATGATGATGCTGATGATGCTGATGCTGATGAGGATGCTGATGATTATGATGTGACGCTGATGATGAGGATGATGATGTTGTTGATGATGCTGATGCTGCTGATGATGGTGGTTGTGATGCTGATGATGCTGAGGGAGATACTGCTGATGAAGAAGATGACTATGATGATGACGATGATGCTGATGGTGTTGATGCTGATGATGATGCTGCGGATGCTGCTGATGATGATTATGGTGATGCTGCTGCTGAAGATGATGATGGTGACGATGGTGATGATGATGATAATGAGGATGATGATGCTGATGATACTCATGATGATTATGATGATGATGGGGATGATGATGAGGTTGATAATGATGAGGATAGTGGTGACGATGACGGTGATGCTGATACAGTTGTTGGTGTTGATGCTGATGATGCTGATGATTATGACGATGAGGATGATGACGAGGACGATGAGACTGCTGATGATGCTGCTGGCGATGGTGATGACGGTGGTGATGCTGATGATAGTGATGGTGGTGATGACGACGCCGACTGTGAGGTTGACGACGCTACTGGATGGTAATGATGATGATGCTGCTGATGATGATGAAGATGATGATGACAATGATACTGATGATGATGATGATGATGATGATGATGATGATGATGATGATGGTGATGGTGATGGTGATGGTGATGGTGATGATGATGATAAGATGATGGGGATGATGATGATGATGATGATGGCGGTGGTCGTGGTGGTGGTGATGCTGGTACTGTTGATGCTTGTTATGACCATGACGACGCTGCTGGTGATGATCATTGTGGTGATGCTGATGATGATGCTGATGATGATGATGCTGATGTTGATGATGTTGATGATGATGAGTATGATGCCGACGAGGCTGCTGATGATGATGATGCTGCTGCTGATGCGGCTGTCAGTGATGGTGATGCTGGCGACGCTGGCTGTGATGGCGATGTCGATGGTGATGTTGACGATGATGATGATGCTGATGATGATTACGGTGATGATGAAGATGATGAGGATGGTGATGATGCTAATGATGATGAAGAATAACTATGTGTTGATGCTGATGGTGATGCTTCTGACGATGTTGACGATGATGATGATGCTGATGCTGATGACGACGATGACCATGTACGATGCTGCTGATGATGATTTTGCTACTGGCGATGGCCATTTGGATAGGGATGCATGCTGCTGCTGATGATGAGGATGGTGGTGATGTCGGTGTCGATGTTGATGTCGACGATGATGGTGATGATGATGCTGCTGCTGGTGACGATCCTGACCATGATGATGCGGATGAAGACGTTGCTGCGGATCATGATGATGCTGGTAAAGGTGGTGATACTGATGGTGATGTTGATGCTGTTGATGACGATGCCGACTGTGATGGAGATGATGTTGCTGATGATGCTTGTGGTTATGATGATGGCGATGTTTTTGTTGATTATGTTGCTGAGCATGATGGTGGTGAGGACAATGACGAGGATGAGGATGGTGCTGGTGATGGCTCTGCTGCTTGTGATGGTGGTGATGATTTCGCTGGTGTGGATGACGATGTCGACGGTGATGCTGACGACGCTGCTGATGACGATGGTGATGATGCTGATGATAACGGTGACGATGATACTATTGATCATGATGATGACGATGGTCATAATGATGATAATGACGAGGATAATGATTCTGATGATGATACAGATGTTGACGCTGGTGATGATTAGCATGATGATGATGACGATGACGACGCTGATGGTGACAAGGCCGATCACACGGATGATGAAGTTATTGATGATGAATTTGCAGTTAGTGATGGTAATAATGGTGGTGATGATGCTGTCGGCGGCGATGACAATGTCGATGGTGACGTTCATGATGGCGTTGCTGATGAAGATGGTGATGCTGGTGATGATGGTGTTACTGATGATGATGCTGTTGCTTGCGATGATGATGACGATGCTGCTGGTGATGCTGATGATGCTGTTGACGATGACGATGGCGATCGGATTATGACGAGGTTTGTGATGCTGTTGATGGTGGTGATGACGAGACTTTTGATAATGCTGATGCTTATTATGACGACGGTGATGGCGAGGATGATGCTGCTGACGATGATATTTTTGCTGCTGGTGATGGTGAGGAGGATGGTGGTGGTGGTGGTGGTGATGTTGATGATGCTGACGATGATGATGATGACGATGATGATGATGATGATGATGATGATGATGATGATGATGATGATGCTGACGACGATGATGATGATGATGATGATGATGATGATGATGATGATGATGGTGACGATGCTGATGCTGCTGACGGCGATGATGCTGAGGATGATTATGATGACGATGGTGATGTATATGTCGATGATACTGGTGCTGGTGAGGATCATGTCGATCATGCTGATGATGCTGCTGATGATGGTCATGCTGCTAGTGATGATTATGTTGATGGTGGTGGTGATGAGTATGCTGTTGTTGCTGATGATAACGGTGGTTGTGGAGTTGATCACCATGCCGATGTGACGATGATGATGAGGGTGATGAGGAGGAAGACGATGATGACGATGATGGGGAGGATGCTGCTGATGATCACGATGATGATGCTGATGCTGGTGATGATGGTGATGTTGATGCTGTCGATACCGATGGAGACGGTGATGGTGATGGTGATGGTGGTGATGATGCTGATGGCGATCGTGATTGTGACGGTGCTGGTGGTTGTGGTGATGCTGCTGCTGGTGTTTATGATGAAGGCGATGCTGACGATGAACATGATGCTGCTGATGATGATGACGAAGAGGGGGAGAAACAGGAGGAGGACGAGGAGGCGGCGGTGGGGTGAGCATGAGGAAGACGAGAAGGAGCAATATGATGATGATGCTGATGAGGATGCTGATGATACTGATGATGATTATGATCATGATGATGATGATGCTGGTGGTAATGTTGATGGTAATGATGATGCTGGTGGTGGTTGTGGTGATGGTGATGGTGATGATGGTGCTGTCGATGATACTGATGATGATGATGACGTCGACGATGCTGATGCTGATGATGATGATGGTGGTGGTGGTGATGTTTATGATGGTGATGATGCTGATGATGATCGTAGTGGTGGTGGTGGTGATGATGATGCTGATGATGTTGGTGGTGGTGGTGATGGTGGTGAGTATGATGATGATGCCGATGATCTTGCTGATGCTGATTCTGATGATGATGATGGCGGTGGTGGTGATGATGATGCTGATGATGCAGATGGTGTTGGTGGTGATGATGATGGTACTGATGCTCATGCTGATGATGATGATGATGATGCTGATGATGCTGCTGATGATGATCATGATGATGATGATGATGATGATGATGATGATGATGATGATGATGATGATGATGCTTATTCTGATGTTTGCTGATGCTGCTGCTGCTGATGATGATGATGATGCTGATGCTGATGCTGATGATCATGATGATGCCGGCAGCGAGGAGGAGGAGGAGGCGAGGAGGAGGAGGACGAGGAGGAGGTTGAGCTGGAGCAGAAACGGGGAGGATGAGGAAGAGGAACATGATTACAGAAATGGCGTCCGCGGAGGAGGGAGAGGAGGACAATGGAGGAGGAAGCCATGGAGGAGGTCTTTCGGCCCGCAGGCGATGGACAAGATGATGGTGGACCTCAAGGCGGAGCAGGCGGAAGAGGTGCAGTTCAAGGCTCGGCGCATCCGCTGCGCTGCGCCGGGATGAGACGTACGAGGAGGAGTAGGAGGAGGAGGAGGAGGAGGAGGGAGAATTCGCAGCAGGATCATGATGCTGATGCTGATGCCGATGCTGATGCTGCTGCTGATGATGAGGAAGATCATGTTGATGATGGCGATGACGATAACGACGATTACACGGATGATAATGCTGATGCTAATGATGATGATGATGCTGATGATGATGACACGATGATTCTGATGATGATGATGATGATGATGATGATGATTATGCTGATGATGGTCATGATGATGATGCTGATGCTGATGCTGATGACGACGATGATGGCGATGCTGCTGCTGATGATGATGGTGCTGATGATGATGCTGATGATGATGCTGATGATTATGTCGATGATGATTATGATGATGAAGACGATGCTGCTGCTGATGCTGGTGCTGTCGACGATGTTGATGATGATGCTGATGATAATGCTGATGATGGTGGTGATGATGCTGATGATGATGATGATTATTATTATTATTAAGGTGATGGTGATGGTGATGATGCTGCTGCTGATGATGATCATGCTGATGCCGATGCTGATGCTGGTGCTGATGCTGATGCTGATGCTGATGCTGCTGCTGCTACTGCTGATGTTTAGTATGATGATGATGATGCTGTTGCTGCTGATGATGACGATGATGCTGATGATGATGCTGATGATGATGCTGATGCTGATGCTGATGCTGATGCTGATGATGATGATGATGATGATGCTGATGATGATGATGATGATGATGATGATGATGATGATGATGATGATGATGATGAAACGGGGGGAGGAGGAGGCGGAGCAGGAGACAGCGGGCCCCCGCACACTTCCCGTGTTCCTTTTCCTCTCGCCTCCCTCTTCCTTTTCGCTCTTGCACCCCTTCCCCTGCCCCCTGCCCCTTCCCATCCTCCGTTCCTGTTTCATCCTGCCCTTCCTCCTCCTCCTCCTCCTCCTCCTCCTCCTTCCCCCCCTCCTCCTCCCCCTCTTCCTGCTCCTCCTCCTCCTCCTGCTCCTCCTCCTTCCCCCTCCGCTTCCTGCTCCTCTGCCCCCCCTTCTCTCTTCTCTCCTCCCCTACTGCTCTCCCCTGCCGACTTCCCCTCCCTCCTCTGGGCTCCAAGACGTCTGCACCTCGCCTCGGTCGTCCGACCCCCGCCGCCCAGCGCCGCCGTGGAGGGGCCCGCCCGACCAGAGGAGATGGACCACGGGAGTGTCGAAGGTATGTGGTGGCCATCGGAGCCTGAGGGTACCGGATCGGGTCGGGTCGACCAGCCCCTTGCCTTCCCCATGGAGCTGCGATGGCTGTGAGTCGAGGAGGAATATCCAAGGAAAGGCAAAACAGGCGGGGACGATGTTTCGTGCTTTCTTGACTATGTTTGGGTATCTGTTGGCTATTTCCCAATATTTCTTTCAAGATCCGCCTGCTGGAGGACATGCCCGACCTAATGATAGTCCCCTCTCTCCTCCCTCCCCATCGCGTCCTCCGCTCCCCCTGCCCCTGCCGCTCTGCCGTCTTGCCCTCCTTCCGCTCTGCCTCATTCCATGTGGAGGTGGTGTGCGGCGGGGGCGGGGGAGGGGGGGGGGCGCAAGCCGCCAACGCGTCGCCAGTGCGCTGGTGATGCGATGCGATGCAGTCTGGTCTCTCTTCTCTCTCTCTCTCTCGCACGCGCGCACGCACGCACGCACACACACGCACACACACACACGCACTACATATGTTTGAGTTTTTTTTTCCTCTCTCTCTCTCTCTCCCTCTGACTGTCTCTTGTTGCTGCTGCTCTATTTTTCTCCCTCTCTCTCTGTCCGTCTCTCTCTCTCTCTCCCCCTCTCTCTCTCTCTTTCTCACTTCCCCCTATTTCGCGCTTCCGCAGTGGGATCCACATGCTTGTTCGCTCAGAACCCCGCTCTATCATTGAAATGGTGACGAACAGCATTCAGCCTAGACGCCCGAAGCGCGCATGCAGGCCTACTGCCTGAAGGAGCTGCGGGCGAACGAGAAGCTGAACTACACCAAGACCGAGGAACTCCCCCCTCCATCCTAGCACTGCGCCTGCTCTCCCGGGCGGCGCGCAGGCCTTTCGACATGTAGGCGGGCGGAGCGGTCTGAAAGGCCTGACCACCAGCGCCATCACCTTCCCTTCCCCCTCCGTCTCCTCCTCCGTCTCCTCTTCCTCCTCCTCCTCCTCCTCCTCGTCCTCCTCCTCCTCCTCCTCCTCCTCTGCTTCCCCTCCTCCCTTCCCCCTCCGTCTCATCCTCGATATGAATACTACTCTCCCTCTTCCCCTGTTGACGGAATGGGAGTAGCCGACCCCCCCCCGCGTACTGTTTTTCTTTACACACAGGTTTCTCCGGAGTTTGGTTTTCGCCTGCTCTCGCTGAGGCGCCGGCCTCATGTTCGGGCCCCGCTCGTTCCGAATCGTGCTTCCGCTGCAGCGCTGGCCTCATTTCCGCCGGCGCCTGAGCTGCACGCCCGAGCCGGCGCCTGGACTGGCGCTCGGGCCGCCGGGTCCGGAGCCGGTTCCGGCCGGCGCCGAAAAATGGAGTTCCGAGGCGGCGCCGAAAAAAGGCCATTCTAATATACATTTTTTCTTTTGAAAATGCTGAATTTCTGCTCATGGCGCCCGGGAGGCCTCCTGGGCCGATTCCGACGCCCGGGCCGGCGCCCGAGCCGGCGCCCGGGCCGGACGCCCGAGCCGGCGCCCGGGCGCGCGCTCGGGCCGGGTCCGGAGCCGGTTCCGGCCGGCGCCGGAAAATCGAGTTCCCCCCGACCATCAGACGTCTCTTGATATTACAGCCGTGGTTTAATTTCAAGCAACCGCGCCAACATAAAACATTACCAACCGAAATAACACATAATCCGTGCATGCTCACTTACATGGTTGCCTTCACTGGTCGGGAGGGGGTTAACTCACTGACAAGGTTGATGGCCTTGATTGGTCGGGCGGGGGGACTCCCTTACAAGCCGAGTGGCCTCGGTTGGTCGGGGCGGGGGGACTCACTTACAAGCCTGGTGGCCTCGAGTTGGTCGGCGCGGGGGTGGGCTCACAAACCACGAGATCGTCACGGCATTTTGGCATTATTGTTGTCCTACTCATCCCCCTGCCCCCGTTTTCACAGGTCACTTCAACTGATCCTCTCTCACGGCAACACGGAATTTGAAGAGGCGGTGCCATGTGCACGCGGCTCGCGAGCCCGTTGCCCCACAAGGTTCGATGCTGCAATATCCTACCGTCCAAAATTATTCACTCTTCTCCCGCAGCTGTTTCGGTTCAGTGGCAGTCCGGCTGAGAGCCAAGAAAGCCGACTTAGACGAGGAAGTTGCACATCGTATTTTCTCACGTCACATTCCTGCAGCAACATGTTCTCTTACGGTGCTTTGGAACGTTTCAAAGATCACAGTAAAAACTCGCTCACGTCAGAATGGCAGGTTATCAAAGAGCACTTGCAGATATTGATCGAGATTCTTGAAGAGACAGGGGGGCTGGTTCCTAAGCAGAGTACTCTCCGAGATTCATTCATCAGCTGGCTGGTGAAAAACGGCTTCAAGTGGAGCTGGACAGATGCCGACGCACGAGTGTATCGTCTCCGAGTTATGTTGATGACAATGTTTTCTTTGAAAAGATACAAAAAGCCAACGCCAAGGAGTTACCCTATGCTTCAAGTTCTGATTGACATGTGCTGTGATAAGGTACCAGAAACGGTTACGCAGACTGAGACTTCGAAGGCGCCTCCGAAAGTTCCAAAAAACAGAGTTCAACGATGTCGAAATTGTCCCGCCTAAGCCTAAAGTGGTTCCAATGGTAGACCTCACCAGTTCTGATCAGTACGTCGTTGATCACGACTTGGACGCCCTGGAGTCTACGTTGTTCGGTTGTGCTATGGCAGCACCTTCAACTGCAGACGATGTGGCGGAGCCAGAGAAGAAACCAGCAGCCGCTCCATTATCAGCAGATGTGTTGCGGAAGCTGGCGTTGGAAGAGCCCCCTCCTGCAGGGCCATCGCCAGCTGATTACGAGGCAGCTCAAACAGTTCGGAAGAAGCGTAAACAGAAACCAGATATCAATGAAGATCAAGAGGATGAGGAAAAAAACCCTCGCAGGCGCAAGCGAAAGAAAACTTCCCCAGATGAAAAAGATGATGCGCCCGCAGGTGAATCGGCAGTCAAACCGACCGAGGGCAAGGACGACGTGGGCGCGGCCAAGCAGAAATACCCAACGATAAAGTACGACTCGTGGTCCCCAGAGAACGCGCACGGCATTCCGAAGTCCGTCATGGAGAATCGGGTGTTCTCCGCCACATACGCGAAGCAGAGGGCCCTGCTAAAGAAGGAGATGACAGATGATCGAGCCAAGCTTCGAGCGGCGGAGCTTGCTCACGAGGAGCTGCGAAGGTGGGGGGATGCTGTCGGGGCGACGTAGCGCATGGGGCAAGTGCGCATCGGTGCGTCCGACAGCGGGGTTCAGGAAGTACTCGGCTGCACGCCGAGTGCTCGACTTCAGTGCCGACTTAGCTGCCAGTAGTTTTCATTGCTCGCACCACGTCTGTGGACATTGAAGCCTTCGCACGACAGCACAAAACACATGGCTACTGCAATAACGACAAGTGGTGTTCGGGACGATTCGGGCACCCCCAAAACGCCCTCGGCGAGGCGCAGCCGAAGGAGGGCACCCCGCGGCCCGAGAACCCTCAGGACCCCCGAGCGCCTCTACTCCTCCCGCTCCTCCTCCTCCTCCTCCTCCTCCTTCGTCGTCGTCGTCGTCGTGGTGAACGGCAATCTCAACAAAGTTGAGTAAATTGCGTTCCGTCGTCCGTCGTCGTCGTCGTCGTCGTCGTCGTCGTCGTCGTCGACTGGAGAGGTCTGCAAAATAACACGGTTCCCCCTGGGTCCACGGTTCCCATCATAATGATTGAGTTTTGGCTTGTAAGCTGAAAGTATGATGGCGTCGTCGTCGTCGTCGTCGTCGTCGTTGTCCTCGTAGTCGTAGTCGTAGTCGTAGTCGTAGTCTTCGTCGTCGTCGTCGTCGTCGTCGTCGGTCGTCGGTCGTCGGTCGTCGGTCGTCGGTCGTCGTCGTCGTCGTCGTCGTCGTCGTCGTCGTAGTCGACTGGAGAGGTCTGCAAAATAGCACGGTTCCCCCTGGGCCCACGGTTCCCATCATACTTTCAACTTCCAGAATGGTGGAACTTTGGCCTGGAATATGAAAGTGTGATGGCGTCGTCGTCGTCATCATCATCATGGTAGTAGCAATCATAATAGCCATCATCATCATCATCACAATCGTCATCATCATCATCATCGTCATCATCATCATCATCCTTATCATCATCTTTATCATCGTTAGCATCACCATCGTCACCATCATCGTCAGCGGCCCCATTATGTGATACGGCCGTGATGGAGCTTAGACCCAAAGAAACAAAACACATCACAAACAACAACGGCATTTGCCACCAGGGCCCCATCGCATTTGCCAGGACGAGGCTCGAAAGAATACCAAAGCTCATCAGGTGTATCAACTAGGTTTGAAACACAACGCTATACTCACCGTAAACACCGTCATCATCGCAACCATCCCCGTCAACATTTTGGCTCAAGCATTGTCCAGTCAGCTGCGCCCTCGCTTGTTCAGAACGCAATGGTGCCAATGTTCAGTGGCAGTGGCCGCGGGCTGGTGGAGGATGGCGACTTCCTGGCGGATGAGGCCGCCCCTGCCACTGGGGCTGCCGAGAGCCAGGCCAGGGGCCCTGAAGAGATCGCCACCGACGATCGCGAGGATTTTTCCCCTCAGTCCCAGGCGCCCGCAGACGACGGGATCGAGGAGTGCGCGGGGGCGTCTGCCAATGCGGAGAAGACGATCCGGCTTCTCAAGGACTTGGGCACCACTGCGAGCGGGTGGCTTGCCTCGTTGATTGACCGCGAGTTTGCAGAGCACACGAAGAAGGCGATCGAGGCATTCATCGATGATCTCAACCTGTTCGTGGGCGTCAAGGAGTCGGAGCTTCCAGCCGCGAAGTCGAAGTCGGAGCTGCAGGAGTTCGACCTCGAGATAAGCAAGGAGCACATCGACACGTGGGCCCCGCGACGGTCGGAACTGAAGGGGCAGGCGATCATATTCGGGGGGCCCCCGTGCCCGGAGGAGGTCTCCAAACGCGACCCCGACTCCATCGGCGTCGACGAGGGCGAGCTCTTCGGGGACAAGAAGAAGCAGGAGACTGGCTCTGCGTCGGGCTCTGTGGCGCCGAAGGCCGACGCCAAATCTTCCGCTGGCAAGAAGCGCAAATCAGACAAGGAGTCCGTCGTCATGAAGAGGCCCGCGGGCAAGAGCAAGGCCAAAGCCAAGGTCAAGCCGTCTGCCAAGCGAGCCAAGGCAATGGCGAGGCCTGACAGAGTTGACGATGATGATGACGACCTCGAGAGTTCCGAATCTTCCGACACCGTGGAGGAGCTCCTCGGCGATGTGGACTGAGGTGTTGGCGGTGCTGTATGCGACGTGCATTCTGCTGCAGTCGTGCTCATCTGTTTCGACGTGCAGTCTGCTCATCTGTTTTCGACGTGCAGTCTGATGCAGTCTGTTGCTGAAAACCGTTGAAACATTGAGCGAATGTGAATCGTCGTCATCATCAACGCTACCATCGTCGCAGCCATCGTTATTATGATTGCCGTAAACATCATCATACTATGCGTCTCTCGGCTTGCTTTGAGGGCAATCGACCCTACTCCTCCAATCGCCAGGTTCTGCAAGTGAATGTCATTTTACTCATGACCTAAACGATTTAGAAAATGAGTTGAAGTTCTGAACCCTAGATCGTTCAGAGTCCGTCCACGTCGCATCCAAGGTGGCATGGTCGTTCGTCCGCGCCGTATCCAATGCGGCATGATCGTTCATCCGTGTCCCATCCGAAGCAGCATGGTCGCCCGTCCGTGTCGCATCCAGGGTGGCGCGAGCTTTCCCCCTCCGCGTCCCTCCCTTGCCCGCTCCATCCTTCCTATTTCTCGCTCGCCCTCCGCCTCTCTCGCTCGCCC